AGCCATGGCTGCTGCATTCGGCGCATCGGCGTCGGCCATAGCGTAAGTATTACCTACTTTAAGTAGCCTGCGCGCAAGACACCTGACAAACAATGGCCAAAAGGCTCGTGAACAAATGCAGTGGTTGATCAAAAGCTCTGCGGGCTCCCCTGGGCTGGGGGACAGTCTGTGCTCGAGCCTCCTGAGACAACATGGTGGCTGAAACTTTCACGTAAACCAAAGCATGGCCCTGAGTCAAACGCTTGTCAATGTAATTACATCGCAAGCTTCGCGCCCTGACTTCTTGTGGATGCGAGTGCCTCCTCCGCTATGCCCCCGCCAAACGCATGTTGCATCTCATCTCTGCGTCTCTGAGATCCCTGCATAACTAATTTGGCACCAGTTGGGGCAGTGTACAACTGAGATGCTTAACACCTCCGTTTTAATTGCTGAAGCTCCCACACTAGTTGCATCAGTCCTGAACCCTGAGTTCCCAGCCCGTCGTTCAGGTAATAGCCTGGGCAATGGCTGCAAACTTCCAATGCATCTGGCAGGTCGAGAATATTATCTGGCCAACTGCAATTTTGTGGTCGTTTATGAGCTAGCTAGTGGTCTTGTGTGAGAGCACGATTAACCTCATTGATCCCTGCATTGGATATGCCGACCCTTCAACAGCTTTATAGCTCAGCCGAATCACGGCAAACCTGCTCTCCGCTTCCGTCCGTCGCTGGCAGCTTTGCCTTGGCGTAGACCTTCCTCAGAACGGCTTCGTCTTTCAGAGTGCAGCTTGCCCAAGTCATGGTTGCAAACTAAAATTCTGCTGGGCGGCGTCAGCAGATGGCCACTGTTCGCTGCGAAGAAGCGTCCCGGCTCCGCAATGCGTGTCAACTTTGGCAGCACAGCAGGATGAAAAGTCAAACGCCCGAAAATGCTCAGCTTAGCTCAGCTCTTGAAAGGCAAGAAAAAAAAGATCATGTCAGGACATGAAATTGACCTCTGCCCGACCCCCCCCCCGCCTCTGGGAACTCGCTGCTCGGAAAAAGCCTCTGCAGCTTCTCGGCAATGATAGGGGCAATCCTGAGCAAACCAAACTGCAGGTGGCGGCCTTTGCAATGCTCTCTCTGTCTCCTTCGGGTTTGTTTCATTGAGCATGAAAATGGCTCCTGAATTCCTGATTCCCTTGATTCGGAAAGCCTTATTCCTACTTTGCCGGGAGGCTGTTCGTAGCCTGCCCGGTCGCCCGGGTAGCCCCCGCCAATGTCCAGGACGTGCATCGCCTGGTGGCTTGGCATGGCATTTCGCACTTGGGCGGGGGATCCTGGGGCTCTCGAGGGGCTCCTGGGCTTATCCTGAGTCTGGACAACTTGCTGGCGCTTGGGAGCTCACGACAAAGCTGCAAGACCCTCTTCCACATAAGTCTAGTCATCGACCCGGGCCTTCATGCCGCGCTCCGAGGCCATTCCTGAAGTGGAGAATGAGTTGTCCGCTTTCAAGCCGTCTCCGTACTGCTAGCAGCACATTGCAGATCACCAATTAACTGCAGCACTGCACGGCAACCCAGCAGCCTCCCTGCTTCCAGACTCCAGACCCTACCGCTACTTGTCAACAGACTTGCTTGCCATCGAGACGCTGAAGACCTCCCTCGCGTCACGGAGGGCTGGCTCAAAGGTTTCTGGGTCCTTGCAGCCTCAGCTTGTTCTGTTTTCAGAGTTCGAGGTCGCTTCCGAGGACTCGACTCCGGGACAGCGTCTCCGCTCGTGGTTTTGAGCTCAGCCGATGCAGCCACTGACTTTCCATATGTACAGCACTTTCCATATGTAAGCAGCCAGGAGGCCGGATCCCACATGAAAAGACCTTGGCTGACGGAAGTGAGGACGAAGAGCTGAATATCAGGCCATTCCATGCAGCCAGGATTGTAGCAACGAAGGACACTTGAAGCCACACAAAGGTTAGAATTACGGGCCTTCGGATGGTCTCGGAACGACGGCTTCAGCTGTAGCTTGCCAAGGGTTTTCAAAGCTCTGCGCTTCTTCCTTTGATTCTTCCATCTGGCATTTCCTGTGGGGATCTCCAACCCAGAGCCACGCTTGTTGACCGGACTTCAAACAGCCATCGTGCCATGCTTCAATTGCTTTTCAGGCACGTGCAAATGGAAAAAGTTGTGCTGAGGTTGCCACACACCGGCGAGATTGAGCTGGAGCTCCTGCGCAGGCTATTGACTAATGAGCTACAGCTGGCTGCGTGGATTAAGAAGACGGGCTCTGTGCTTTCTTGTTTTTGTCCTGGATGATGTCCAGCAGTGCCGACCAATTGTCGCGTTTAGCTCCAAACTTCAGCGACATCGGGCACCGAGCTGAGGAGTCCTGAAGACACTGCCGACTTTGACTGGTGACTAGAAGTAAGTACGTCTGGAGGCGCAAACCATACGCACTACTCAGCTAGCCGGCCCAAGCCAAGAAGAGGAGTCGTCATGATGTGCAAGGATATTTCAAACTGTCACCTTAATCCCTTCATCCCTAACATTACACCCCTCCAATATAAAACACGGGTTCCCCACAATTCCAAAATCTGACATCTGCACCCGAAACTGTTTTGAAGAGGGCCAAGACTAAAGTTACGGCTCGGATCCTCTGAATTAAGCGGGGTGCCTAGCACGAATTTTAAGGATTCGGGATCTCCTTGATTTCCCGGATGTTCATTGTTTTGGAATGTTTTGTTTATGAAGGAATGTATATACAATCTGAATGCAATTTTGATTGCATTGCGAGTATAGATCGCTTTGAAATTGATGTGCACCTAGATTTCAATTGCTTTTGATCAGATTCTAATGTGATTCCGACTAGGTCTCAAGTAGATTCTATATGGGTTTTCATTGGCATTTCGATTCAACATTGATTTTTAAGTGGGTTGTATTCAGATGTTCACTAGACTTCAGTGGCTTTTGATTCGATTTTAATACATGTATTGACAACTTTATTGCGATTCCGATTTGATTTAATCGGCTTCTTATTCGATTTAATCGAATTGTAGTCAGTTTTGATTAGATTTCAATAGGATCCTACGCTATACTCGCCTAGTGCGTGGGTCGTACAATAAATCCCCCCCTATATCAAATACAGGTTGTAGTATCTACATTAGGGGCCCTTTAATTCTGGCGGGAAAGGATTAGGCTCCCGAGCCACCTCGCAAACGACGCGGAGCAGCAGTTGTGCCTCTGGATAAACGGCTGCCACCTGATAATGCCACGGCAGGTGGATAGCTGGATGTAACCGGCGCATGTTACTGTCAGTGCCACACGCAGAGGTGTAGATAAGGGACTTTGATTTTGAGGCGTTCATACAGAAACGGTAGTCTTCCTCCGCACGCCAGTGCCCTTAGGAGGTTTGAGATCCCACGCCCAGCACTCCCGCAGGACCGTACGAGCCTTCCGCAGCTCCACATCGTTGTCAAAGGACATCAAGCTGATGCCTCCAAGGTTCCGATGTTAGGCCTTCTGCATGCTGCTGCTTTTGTAAATCTCTGTCTTTCCAAAGGGTGACATTTTGTACGTATGGGATGGAGTTAAACCCATAAGTGGCCTTGCGTCTTGGCAAAGGCAATGTGTGATCGTGGCTTGCAAGGGTGAGAATACCTCACCATGCCGTTGCACGCGCTCTCAGAATTGGCAAAGTCACATCTTGAGACTCATGGCTGGTTAAGAGTTTGTTGCCCAGCACGTCAGATGCTTGTTCATAACCCCCCTACTTGTTCCCATGACGAAGCTTCTGACCAGCCTCAATGCAGTCTAAGGCCAGGCTGCACGATGTCGGCTGGGCTGACACCCAATTCCAAAACTGTGCTGATCTCCTGTCAGAGTAACAGGCCCAACAATATCTGGTCGCTGGCAATCATGCAACCCCGGCCCCTGTTGACTTACCAGCAAGATGACACACGTGTTTCATTTCAAATTTTGACATGCTAGCACAGCAACAAGATGCAACAAGCGCACTGCACGTCACATGGGTGGTCTCCACCTGTACCAGTGTCAATTCCACTATGCCCCAGCTTTTGACTTTGCCACTGTTCTCCTGCATTGTGGCACAGTCAAAGCCACAACCTCCATCTCGGAGCTGCTTGATGATCTGAGGCGCAATTCACATGTTCAGCACGACGACCATTATGGAGACTTTGCTAATGAAAATAAAACTTCCTGTGAACAAGAAACTTGCATCTTGCGATGACACGCATGCTGTGCTAGCATTTAGACTGTGCATACAGCTCAAGCCTCACAGGAGCGAGCACCTGAAGGCTTCAGGCTACTCTGGAACTACCACACAAGATCAGCTGTAGCCCAAGCCAGGGTTGCAAATTTTCTCCGAGGGCCTGCTTGTTAGGGCAGCACTTCACGGCGTAGTGGGGGCGCACATCGGGCAGGTATTTCCTGAGCTTCTATTCGCAGGCACATGGAAGGCTTCTTCTATAGATACATCTGCGGATAGGGTGCCATGGGCAACGTGGCAAATCTAACCCTGGCTAAGCCAGTTGCGCGCACGCACACGGGAAAATGGCCGAGAGGGTCAATCAAGCTGAAGTTTGAAATAACAAATGTATCGCAAAATCCTGCAATGCCAGGCCAAGGCTCTTCCAGAGCTGGATCTGACTTTGCACCTTTCAGTTCATAGTGCGCAAGCGCAGGCAGCACCAGATCAGTGTGGCGCAGCATGTTTTCCAAGTTATGCTACTTCTACACAGGTGCAGCTGCCGCTCTCTGCTTAACCCTCTAACTTCCACGGAAGCAGCTAATACGTTGTGAAAATGATTCGGGATCATTCAAGCTCATAACCCGGAAACCCAAGAATGTCTTTTAGTCTTTTAGACTCTGGACGAGCCCTGTCAGAACTCCGTACTGAACAAGTTGACTGAAATGCTAAGACACATTGCCAAGATCCACCAGCTGGATCGGCCTTGGTGTCACAGCTGAGGCTCAGTTGGCAGCGTTGGGATCATGATCTCCAAGGGTTGGGGGCAGTCTGAGCAACTCTGGACTGGATAGCATCCATGGCATGTAACCCTCAGCACATCAGGTGCGGGACTCATCCACCGAAGATTCGAAGTGCTTCAGCGCCTGCTTGGCAGCTGCGTGCACGGAATCCTGGCTGGCACTGAAGGCTGTTCAAAGTTGAATCTTGCCCAAATGGAGCTGCTCGACTAAGCCATGAAGCTTGGGCAGCGCTCAAACATGAAAGTCAGGAACAGGATAAGGCACCTTTCGCCTGCCAGCCACGCGACGTCCCTCGCTAGACGCGCAAGATCGAGAACCACTGTCCAGTAGCAGTTAACCATCCTTCCTGACTCTCATGGGACTGCTTTTCTGGTCTCTAGGATTTTTGCAAACAGGTCCTCGCCCGGCAGGAGTCCCTTCAGCACGGTGACCTTAGACCTGGCCGGATTTGCGTTAACGAAGGGCTTTCAGCTGGTTGTACATGGCGGAGAAGAGCTGTCTCAAGTCGTCCAAGCTGATAGATGTCCCGTATAAATGGCGCTATGCCCAGCTCAACATATGAACTAGATGCAGGCCTCTTGCGGTGCGCCTTTGTTCCATCAATGCAGCTTGACTTACCACCTGCAGCGCCCAAGGTCTTTGGCAAATGTGCAAATGTCCTGGAATGAATGTCCTGCATGACTCCACTTGACCAGTGTTTTCTGTCAATCAAGCTGCGAATAAATGCAAGTCTGCTTGCAGGATGTAGTTCAAATATGCGAATCCTATGCCAAAGCACCCCTGGCCTAAAAATGCTTACTCAAGCTTCCGAAGCTTTCATTCGCACTGCACAGCAAATACAACTTAAGCTGATAACTGCTGGCCTTTCTTCAGAAGCCCTTTGTCGATGATCTCCTTGCGCAAAACGCTGCATGGCAGTGAGTTGTTTTGTTGACAGCATTGGGCCCGGACATGCTTGACAATTTCGTTTCTGTCTCATGCTTCAAGACGCTTAGGCTAAACGGCCAGCGATCCACCGCAGAAATTGCATTGGAAACCATCTGAAACGAAAAGCTGTGCAGATCCTTCCAGGAAGGGCTTACAATTTCTGCGAAATCAAAGTGCCAGGTCCCGCTGGCACCCGATCAAGTCTCAACATGCATGGAACTTTTGGAGATTTCTGAACGTCTGCAGTGGCATGGCTGACTGACAAGAAACAAGCATGAGAAGCCAGCTAAACAGGGAACACCGACACCCAGACCCAGAAGTCGGGACACGGACTAAGTTGGGAAGTCGCCATTTAAGAAACTTGCCACCAGCAGCCCAGCAAGCTTTGAAAGCTTGGGCCTCTGCTGCATGGGGATTGTCTGCTTTGGTCATGTGCAGGTCGCTGCCCACACCTTGTGCACACGGATGAAAATGCGAGGCCGAAGATATTTATCGTGAGGTTGAGAGCAGAAGCACAAACTTACAGTAGCAATTGAAAAGCTTCCACCGAATCTTATTCTCATCCCCAAAAACGTGCAAATTCAGCCTGTACACAGCCTTTGAATCAACAATGTCCATTATTTCTCTGCGCCCCTTTCATGCCCAGATCTTTCTGATGCTACTGACCAGAATGATGAAATCCTTGGTGACTGGTTCAAAACGAACATCAGTTTCAATTTTGAACATTAGTTGCTAATGCAAAGGAATCTCTGCCTGCCACTGCGCCAGAAGGCACCTCGAATGGTGCGGCCGAATTGGGGATGCCAGGTTTTTCAGACAGCTCGAATCACCATTGCTGCGAGCGTAGTACGTCTTTGCATCTTTCAAGCAGATATGAATCATTTGACCGGGTTCGGAATGGAAGGTCTCTAGGAAAACCTACTATTTAGTTATTGCTCTGAAATGTGACGCCTGCTTCCGTGCACAAGAATCCAGTTTGAAGCGCAGGCATCTGAAAGCTCCAGTCATCCTTCCAAAAAAATTCTCTACGAACTCCATGATCATCGAAGGGGCCATTGTACTCTCAGCTGACCGCCAGGCAACCGATGCCATGGCACTTTGGGCTCCTCGGAGCCCTGGGATTCAATTAACAAGTTAGGAAGGGTGTCAATACCTGTGGGAAGCTTCCTTTTGGCTGATGGCTTATCCATCCCATGGCAGATGCGTCAGGAATGGAGGCGGAGCAAGGCCTGTTCGGGACAACCCAAGAAGTTAATCCTCACGTCGCGAAGCGCAGTCTCTTACCCAAGGTATGTCCCGTTGTATCTTTGGCCCGTGCCCCGCTTTGGGGCTCTGCAGGGGCGGGCGCCGTCCCTGCAAGCGCCCGAGTAGGGCGCCAGGCCGGCTGTGACTACGCTGCGAGCCGCGGGGTTGCAGGGATGGCTTTGCAAGCTTTGCAACATTTTGCAACCGGCAGTGCTGTTGTCCAAGCTGGGCTTCACAGTTTGACTGTTCCGTTCAAACTGCTGTACTCCTAGTTGAACCTCCAGCAAGTCCGCAACGATCACTCCACAAGCTGCAATCAAGGATGTTGAGATACCATTACGCCCCAAGACTCTGCCTTTCTACCCTTGACCCGCTGCCAACAAAAGCACCTGCTGCAACGAGAAATGACACCTCTCCAAGCTATCAAAACAACGACCAGGATTGCATTCTGCATGCGGGCCTCCATTGCTTATACTTTTGCTGCTTACCATTCTTGTTGCTCACAAGTGAGAACCCGAAAGTGTCTACAATGATCAGCGTGATGGCAAAACCTCTCCACAGCGGATCTACACTTTGAACGTGCCAACGTGCCAACCTTAAAGCTGAGCAGCGGCCCTGTAGCAGACAAGCCTGCAACAAATCCTCTGTCTCTTGCAAGACAGCCGTGGGGGGTTCCCCTTCCTGGCATTGCAACACGCAATGGGCAGCTCCAACATTCTTCTGCACCCGTCAAAAACTGGCAGCTGGCCACAGAAGCACAATCCAAGCGAAACATAGGTGGGCCACAACAGTGCACACTGAGCACGAAGGCCTTCAACCAGCCTCGCCCTTGCTCCACGAGCTCCATGCGTCTCTAAGCAGCCCTGTTTTGAGCTACAACACTTCGGCAAGGTTGATGTATGTTGGAAACAAGGCCAGGTCTAGTACCAAGATTCTCCACCATCATTTGTGGTTAATGTAGCAACACAATTAAGCGTTTAGAATGGAATGCTTCGTTGTGAGTAGACCCCAGCACATACCAGTTTTCAGGCACGAAGCAACTCAATGACTCTCAGACTACTAGCTTCTATGAAGTGCTACACCCTCGTGCTCTAGCCTTCAAGCAAGACACTTCTGCTTACTGCCGATCACAATCTCATGCTAGCCTCGCAGCAAAACCAACTGACAACAAGGGAAGATGAAAGAGGAAGCGGATGGTAGATTTTCCATTCGTGCAATGTTTCCCATCTGGGGAGTCCTGCTGGCTACCAGACTAAAAAGAAAATCGAACCAAATAAACCTTGTGAAACAGCGACACAGCTCAGGAACTTGAGGACCCTCAATCTTCCTCTATCCACACATTGCACAATTCTCCGCATGCAAGTCCACGTGCGGATTGTCACTAGAGCTCTGGACTAAGCTCATCCTGCCATGCAACCTTCCAAAGCATTTCGTAAGCCCACGTCCTCTCCGACAGACTTGACCCACGAGCGTCCGTATTTTTCTGGGTTGGTAAGGACTTTTGCTGTGCATTTTCCTTGAAACTATACCGCGTCAGCCCTCACATTGAGAGTTTTCACCTGACGTCAATCTTCACCCAAGAAACAAGAGCTTGCTTGAACATGACTTGCCTTCTTTGATAATTGGTGCGCTGTGAATCATTGTAACATCTTGCTTGGGAATGGTCTGCGGACGGCTAATAGAAAAAGCAAAATGAATGTGCGCAAACAGACCTGACGTCATCTCCGGGCATTGTCCTCGATATTCCTCGATCAAGGTTCAAGCCCCGTGGAAACCAGCAAGCAGAACAGTGCGCAAGAAAATCGTGCAATCAGCAACACACGCAGCATGCCTTCGGAGTCCAGAACATGAAACCAGCTGCTGTTTTTCTTGAGGTTGCAAACCGAAATCCGCCACACCACGCAGCCGTCACTCTTGCCTGCTTGGGGCTGCCAGGTCTCCAGCGAGATCTTCAGCGCATTGTCCTCCTTGTGTGCCTGCAGTTCGTGAGCCCTGCCTTGCTAGCCCTAGCTTCATGTTGTGTGTTTTGTTTTCGGGGGTTGCGCGTCCAAACTGGCGAAGTGACTTTTTGGAAGCTGCCAGGTCAAGCAAACTAACATTAGACTTTCTTGATGCCGTGGCATGCCACGTCTTGAGGATCCCTGTAAACCGAAGCGTCTAAATTGAAAGCGCATGATCTTGATTGGGGCGATGACGAGACCTACTCGTTGCTTCCCAGGCACAGGCCAGCTACGTCTTCTGCCCTGGCGAGTGTTAGGATGCCTGGCGCACGTGTAACGCAGTACAAGGGCCGGTTACCAAGCTGATGAAACGGAACTACCCAAGACATGGAAAATGTTTGCTGGCATTGAGGCATCCATGACTGGAATCAATTACCTGTGTTCTGTAAGTTTCATATGAAACGCTGACCCTGTATAATCTTCTGCCTGATCCGCACTCAACCTACGTTCGACAAAACATGAGGCACTCTACCCTGAGCCTGCCAAATTGGCAAAGCCAATCTAGCACCGCTTCCTTCATTGTTTTCTTGACATCAACATCCTTACTCACCCCACGCGCTTTGTTTGCACTTTAGGGTTTGCACTGGTGGATGGTGTCCTAATCTCAAAGTCATGACACAATTGCCATGCAAAGCACCAACAAGATCGTCTTCGCAAAAATACATTTCACATGAAGCTCCTGGCAAGCCTTCGTTTTCGCCTCCTTGTGAAGCTCGCGCAGCGGCAAGTACTGCACACAACGGCTTGTCAGTTGACAAGGGTAGAGATAAAAAATGAATGATATGCGGTTGCAGATCCCCAAAAATGACACGTCCAAGATATGCTGCTACCAATTTGGGTCTTGGGGCACTCACGGTTGTCATGCAAATTGGGCTAAATTACTCATGTTGTAGGTTTCATGAAAACACGTAGCCCTACATTTTGGCGTGCAGCTTCGTTATTCTGCTGGCCAACAGGCGCGAAGGTAAAGCAAGGACTGATTATGCGAAATCCGCATGAAGCTTCTGAACACAAATTCTGCGGCCCATACCACCGTAATGCCGATCAAGCCCAGCACGACGACAAGATATGCCGCACCTGGGTGTAACCCACACAAATAACCGCTACTGTACCATTCGAATGCCCACTTTGCTCAAATCCACTGACTCAAGGAACAGAAGCCGTTCCAAATATGTCAAGCTTTGTGTTTGGTGCGCACAATGCAATTGGGACTATCTTGCATCTTGTTTTCGACCACTTCAGCCCTACCCACGTTACATCGCATGTCAAAACCTGGCTGCAATGTAAACACACGCAAATTTGCAAGACTGCGAAAAGCTTGCAACCGAAAAACTGATGATTAAAAAAAACCAACGCATTGAGCTGCAGACCACACAACATGTTGTAGGTGGCTTCATCCATGGCAACACTAATCAGCCAGCAACTCTCATGAACAAGCCGTGCTGCGCAACCTACATGCCGCAAAGATGCCGAAAAAATATCATGATGACTGAAGGCACTAGATGACTATCTCAAAGGTCTTCCTATGGTGCGCCAACTCCACATATACCATGCTCGCATCCCACTGCCTTCATCGAAGTGTTTACTGTACCTGGCAATAATTCGGTCCTTTCTGGCAATTGTCCTTTAAAACGGGGATTTGGGTTTACCGCAAGCCTATAGTGACCTATGACTATCATATGACGTTGAGGGTGGGGTGCCAATATCCTCCTACTCGTCTTG